AAGACCTGGCAGGGGCCGCTGGAGGCGGCCTCTATACTAATGACTTCCGCTTTAGAGCGGAACAAATTTGGGTCATTTTCGCATTTTGCAATCCCCAAAGGCGTATTAAGGGAGCGGCGGACGTTCGCTGACCCAGCCAGCATCGATTCTCCGACCCAGCAGAGCGTCCCCACCGCCCACCCCGCCCAAGCCACCCAAGCCTCCGCCCGTTCAATTTCGCGCACGCCGCAGCTCCCCCGCTACACGTCAAGCGGACAGAGGCGCCAATCGACAGCACTGAGGAAGGCGACTTGTGAACGAGGCGCTGAAACGCCGCCGCGGCTCTGCTGCCACACAAAAGAATCACCACACAAGGTGGGGCGAAGCACGCGCGCCCCTGCCCCTCAAAACAGGCGGCGGGTACGGTTTGAAAGTCGAGTAGCGCGCACCAGAAAATGCAATCCGTGGCGGCGCGCGTGTGGCCGCCGCGGATTTTAGGCGGCACGGGTAGACTTTGTGCGCTGGGCCCCCCTCGCGACGCGCTGCGCCCGTTCGCGCCGCTATTGCCTGGCTTGTGTTGACACAACGTGCGCACCGCGTTTTCAGAGTCGCAGTGCGTGTGGCGAAGCGTGCGCAAAGTTTGGGTCTCGTTGAAGGGGAATTCGCCCCCCTGGGCGCAAATTATTTCTTCAGATCTGCGTGCCCATTTCCAGTACATGCACTCTTATTATCAGTCTCGTTTTCGCCTCCACGCTCAGATTTGGATTTCCCGGGCTCGTTCGCAAATTGCCGGTTCTGTTCCGATACTCGGCAAAACTTTCATTGCATCCTGCAGTCTTGGAGGGGCTTCGCCAGTGCCTTCCTGCACGTTCCACATCTGTGCAAAATGGGACGTTTTTCTGTTTGTGAATTTGCCTATGTACGGGCATTCAGGAGCGACTGCAGGCTCATTTAAACATAAGTGTTATGAATGTGGAATATTTTCAGAAGAATTCACAAAAGAGAAATTTCTCACTTCCGTTTGGTCATATTTTGAAATTCAAATCAATAAACCATTTGTCTTGCACCTCAGCTTGCCTTAATGTTGACTGCTCTGAACCGTACAGCCCAATGTATCTCTCAACCCGGTAACGTTCATAAATTGGAATAAGTTACTTTAAATTGCATCTGCCATGTGTTCACAGCAAGTTGTTACGCCTATCTGCGTCTTCATGCCACTCACGATGCTCATTTGCACACATTATTCCTGCTTAAGTTATAGCGCCATTTGCGCGCCCATGAAAATATTCAAACATAACCATATCCGTGCTTCAAGTTGTCCTTTAGAGAAATCTGCGCTTAGAAAGCCATATCGTTCATGCTTGGGAAGCACGAGTGCTCCCTTCTCGCCAGGCCCGCAAACATCTACCTCATCAATTGCTGCAGCTATATGCTGGCGGCCGCCGCGAGCAGTTGCTTGTTGGTCAGCGACACGGCTTCGCCACGATTCCTGCCATGACTCTACCGGAATGCATAGCATTCAAGAGATTCTGCAAAACGCGCCACGAAGTGCGCATATTCACAGAATTTCTCGCGTGATTGCTATCGTTTCGTAACTTCGTGACCTACCGAACAAGCATAACCCTTCATGACTGTGAAAACTCTTGTGTCGCATGTGCGTGCAGCGCTGAGCGTTCAATCCGAAAACCCATCAGTGTGAGCGCCCCGCCCGGCTGTCAAAGATGCGCCGTTCACCCTTGCGCCAACGTACCGTACTTTCATGATAGCGAAGGAGCGGGATTACGAGGACACGGGCCGCGGCCCAGGTCCACAGATGGTGGTATGAACAGTGGTCGAAAAGACAAAATGTCGAACCACAAGTTTTGCACCGAGCCCAACAACTCCGACTTAGGCTCGTAATCAAGGCTCTGCTGCTGAAAACGAGCAAGCAACCGCCTCTCCTCGCCAACGCCCACAAGCACGCGACAAAACTTGGGGCGCCTCGCGCTGTTCAAACAAAGAGATTCGAACCAGAACTAGCTGGTTGGACGCGCTGCTCAAGGTCACATCGACGTCCTTGGTTCCACAATGTCAGGAAGCAATCGGCCTAACACCATCAAACCGGGAGAAGCCCCCAACAGAAGCGAGCTTTCTTCAAGCGTCCAAACGGTTGCCGACACACTAACGTTTCCATTCACTGGTCCCGCCCCCAGCATCATCCAGAGCATGAGCCAGCAAATTGCAAAACTGCCGCCAGAGGCTCGGTGCATTGTCACACGACCACAGAACGGTCGTCCATCCATTTTCAACCCACAAAAAAACTGTCCTTCTTGTGGCAAATCTTCGACTGCACTGCCGCCCAACGTTCCAAATGCGACTAGACTGAAACCAGCTCGTGGGCGTTGTTGTTGTTGTTGTTGTTGTTTTTCCTGCACCATGCCAGAGACTTTTCGAACCCACGTCCAAAGATCCGTTGGGTCCTCAGTCAGGTTGCTGCATGTGCACGGGTTCTACACTTCGTCCAATGACTTTGGGAGTTTTTGACCAGAATCTGGGTCCCAGATTCTAACCAGAAAACCTCCAGCCGATTCGTGAACCCGAGGCCCGATGTCGAATTGGACCAAGGGCAATTCGCATTTAAGACATGTTTCTTAAGAAATGTCCAACACACAATCAAATATACGGTCCGCTGATGGGATATTCTGTCATCAGAGCACGATGCCCTATCAACGATCCGACGTTGCAAGAAAATCTGAAGCAGAACATGAGCACGGCGGTCCAGCGCTTCAGTGGTAAAGCATGGCGTTGAAAATATCAGACAAACAAGCCATAGACCACATCTGTCATTGACAAATCGGCCCAAATGCACGATGAATGCTCTGTGTTTCTCAGCTTCTTGTCCCGTTGTTTCCACTTCTTTTATGTCTTCAGTAGCAGGCCACGCGTACCTGGGTGTTGCTTTTGCTTCTTCCCCATAACTGGTTGCAGACACCATATCATTGGGGAATGTTGGGCCTGGACACACAAGAACATATTGGCAGTTGATATGCCTGGCTGTGTACGCAAGAACCGTTGGAATGAATCAACGGCGGTGAGCCAAACAACACAGTCGATTCGTCGAATCGTTGTGTCCGCCGTGCGGCACAATGGGATTCACTTGTCCAAAAGTTTGGAAATCAACTGAATTTAGCCTCCCGTCTTCCAAGAACGGATGTGTGCCGCGTCCAGAGGGTTGAGCCAATCGCATGACAAAATAGTGGACGCCTCCGGAGGTGCTACATGACACCACCGTTTGACGCGGCGGCTGAGGTCTCCAGCGGGGGGCGGACGACAGCCTCGACGGGCGGCCGGCCTCACAGAGCAGCTGGCGCACATCAAGCCCCAAAGACCGACGCTCTTCTTCGGGAGGGGGAGGCCGGCCGCCCATCGAGGCAGCTACTTGCAAGGTGCGCGATGCGGCTGGGGTCGCTTGCGATTTAGAGCTGGCTGGCCCATAAAAGTGAGAGAGATGTTGGAGCACCCCCGCGCCTGGATGGACGGGCTGGGAGGCCGAGAGGCAGGGGGTCGAGGGGGGGATTAAAAAAGAAAAGGAAAAAATGAGGCCGGGGTCAGCCAGCTTGAGGAGGTGTGTCCAAGGGGGTGGGGCAGAGAGGGGGCCTCCCCTTGGTCGGGCAGGAACGAGGCGGTAAGGTAGGGCCCGTAGGACTAGGATGGGGACACACCTCCGAGAAGAAGAAAAGTAGATTTGCTGTCCGTAGGGGTGTTCGGCCGAGGGGAGCGGCCGTAGGGCTGGATTCGTGCGCGAAATGGGGGCTGGAGCCCCCTGAGGGGCGATGCACTTTGGATACGGATATTCGGCCACAGGCCGAGGGCCCGGTCCACCCACGTGGGTGGGGCACGGGAGACGGTGGATGCAAGGGAAGTATCCAGGTTCCGCCCACGGGCCCGGGGCAGCTACATGCCCCAGGCCGTCTCAAGGGCCAAGGATCACAGACGTGTGTTTTGCGAAAGCAGCACGTGGGGCGACGCCTGCGGATGCAGCGGCGCAGCAGGCCCGTGGGCATTAGTTGGTAGCCCCCTTTCGCGCACTGGCGGTCGGTATAATTGATGTGTCGTGAGAGCGGTTATTAACCATCTTTGTGTGTGTGCGCGTGGGAGGGGGGCTTGCAGCTTCCCTCCCACGCGCGAATCAGGTGGAAGGCTCAGTGCACGTGGTAGAGCCGGGGCCGCTTCACATGCCAACGTGCGGGGAGAGATTGGTGGTCAAGAGCAAGGCCGGGTGCACAATTCCGCGTCGTGCATCCCATGTGGAGCGAGGCCGCAATTCTGACGCCAGGCAGAAGGCGTGCCATGCAAAGTGACAACTCTCCTCGGCGTTCGATTCGTGGCCATTGCTTGTGCTTGCGACCGGAAAGGCACACTTGGACGCTTCGTTCGAACACGACACGACCGTTGAGCGTCGTCATGTAAAACTTTGAACACGACATTCCCTTTTGCCCGCAGCTGTTTTTGTGGCTTGGCGGAGACGGGCGGGGGCCACTGCGCCGATTTTGAAGCCGCCTCTACAAATGCATCTGTCGTATTGCGTCACAAAAAGGAAGCCTGCGCTTCGGTGTTGGAACAACTGCACCCTCTTCAAATGCCAGACCCAATGCCCACATACGGCTGGCATCGCCTGCATTTGCAGGAATTGAAAGCATCGGAGAAAAGCGCCACATACGGAAAAGTAAATTCCCTATGTTAGCCATCCACCTTTCGATAACCACCGATTCAGCGATGGCGAGCCATCGAGTCAATCGATGCACCAATGAAGCTGTGGGTATGGCTGGACAGAGTTCCCTCAGCTGGGGTACAGCGACTGCCCGTGGCCATGGCGCTCACAGGGAATCCTTGACGGACGCCATCCGCATGGAGGCTCTATCCTGCCATCGTCCGGCTCGTGTTTTTGGTTTGACAAATGCATTCAACAGATAGACAGCACGCCCTAAACGGCAAACTGACCACACTGCAGGCAGGAGTTAGACATGGCAATGTGTTGCAGATTAAAGAACTACAGTCCAAACCGTTTCCTTCCCTCGTTCACTGCTGCTGCTTACTCTGTACATCTGCTGGCCCACCAGGCCCCAAGTGCCACAGTTCCCAAGCCTGCAGTCAAGGGTACCATGCTGTGCATATAGGGACAGAATGCGCGCAAATCCACAACTCAGGCGCCCACATGGGGCGTCACCCATTGTGGGGGGCCCATCAACCTTCTGATCATGGTTGCCACATACAGCACTCACAACCAACGCCAAGGTCATCGCACTGTGGTTCCTGAGGATGCCAAACGCTCCCACAGCAGGGCGCCTCTCTCTTGGGCGTGCCATCATCGTATTATATCTGTGCGGTGTAACACTTGGGAATGAAAGGAAACAAGAGAAGCACAAGAAAAGAGCAGTTTGTGCTGTACAAGCTCATCCACATACAGACGTCTTTGAACGTATTCAAGGCACGATCGCAATTCGAGCAGCACCAACACCCTTGGGACACGGAACTTTGCTCTCATGTCTTTCACATTTTCTGGGCTACTGTGTGCCCTTGACGTCATGGACTGGTGGTTGGGTGCCATTGGGGTGAGCAAACACATGCTGTTGACACACACACATGCTCAACATCGCCAACAAGGCAACAGAGACCTGCATTACCATGGTGAGGCAAGCAAACACACAATGGATTTTCACAGGATTTTGTGGCCCATTAAACTGCAGTTGGGGCATTTGGGACAGAACAGGCTCACATGTGACGCCCAAATCAAGCAAAAGAAGCTGGACATATTGCACCCTCAAGGTCTTTGGGCAACGCTTGCCAAAATTTGCGTCAATGAGATCGAACAAATTCTACCAGAATACCAAATTGGTCACTGAACCCTGCAAAACAAAAGTGAGATTCGAGGAAACAGAACTGACAGAATGGCTTACACAGCAGAACTGCGGAGTGGATTGGTAGCGTCCAGATCACCCAGACACATGTGTTTACCTGCTAAATTTTACCGCTGGACAAGCATAATAATGGCAGCCCCCCCTCTTTAGATTGCAGTGAACAAGAAGCCATGGAGTGCCACGAGTCCATCATGTGCTGATGGATCATCAACAGATCCACCATCTCAACTTGAGTCCTTCAAAAGGACCAAATGCTGTCCACCTCAGCTGGTAGGTCAGATGAGGTTCACAATTTATGCACAACTGAAGTTTCCACAGTGGAGGGCTGCCCGCAGTACGTCTTCTGTGACCAAAAGTTTACAAGTTTGGCAACATGGCGACGTGCAGTTGGCCCAATAGAGCAATGAATGGCAACAACAAATGCCCAACAGCAAGCAGGACGTCCCAATCCTCCACGTTCCCATTGACTGTGGACCTGAAATCGTCCTGAAACCTCTGAAATTCTCAGGAATATCCATCCCGACACTGCCAACGACTGTAGCAGGCTGCCAGCCGGAGCACTTGCACACATCAGCACCAGTGGCTCGTGTTTCCTGATTCATGCCGATGTTTGTCAGCATCCCTGCACCCTGAACGCTTGGTACGTTGCGCATTCTGATCGTATTGGCAGATGTGCCGCATGCAAATGTCAGTGGACATTCAATGTAACATCCCGCGTAGCATACGTGGGAAATGTGGGACAATCTGGTGTCCATGCACAAGCCAATCCCAACCAAGACCACAATCCTTTCACTGCTGATGCCTCTTTCCGAGCGCAAGGCCCTTATTTCTACCCCGCGCAGGCAACTGCAGCCACAAAGAAGCTCGCAAGGCCGGAGATGGCCCACCTATGAGCCGCATGGCCGGTCGCCTAACATCCGTCACGCCTGCTGATGAGCCGCCCGCCGCGCCCGCTTCCGATGCCTCTGCAGCGGAGTTGGAAACCGTAGGCGGCTGGAGGCAGCAGCGCGGCGGGCGCCGAGCCGAGGCGAAGGAGGGAACGCGACATCAGTGCGTCCGTGTCGATGTGTTTGGCGCTGTTGTGTGCAGCAGTGGATACCGATGCGACAATCGATACGTATCGCAGCGGATCCCTCGAGGCCTGCAAATGCCCCGGGCCGAGACCGAGACCGAGAATGTGTTGCACGATGTTTCGCTGAAACCGCAGACTTTTTAAGGGGTTTGGAGTGCGTTGAGTACTAAAATAGCAGGGGCGGCCAGGAGATGGGGCGGTCAATTGCATGACCAAGAGTGAACTGCGTAGCTGATCAAATGCATGCATTGCGTAGAAGGATACTTGTATCAAGAAGCTCAACAGAAACAGCGCCCAGAGTAGCATGCTAGCCGGTGAGCAGTAGACATTCAATGTGCTTGTGTAGAATGCCTTTGAAAGTAAAATCTAACGAAAATGTAAAAATGGGGAAAACTTTTGTACTTCCTCCGTCCGGAAATAAATGAAACAGTTTGTTTAAGGGTCTATATTTATATCACGAACTTGTTATTTTTCCTTCAAAATTGGACCAAAGCACTGCCTACACATTTACTATGTGGTGCCAAATTTTTGTGGACAATGGATAAGTACCGGCCACATGGCAGTACTTTGAACCCTTGTGATTCAGGCCAGAAAGTCGAGGTTTCTCAAGGTCTGGCCGAGCAGCCCTCAAAACAGGTCCTTGACGAGGTCGCCTTGCGACTGACGGTGCGCAGCCCAGAGTGGATATCGGTTGCTGCCGTCTTGGTGGCAGGTCGACACCGTCCCTACCAAAGGAGGAAGAGCACGAAACCGGGTTCTGTACCGCTCGATCCTTGATCGCCACCGTGGTTTTGATGGCCTTATGAGGACAGCAGCTCCGGATCGGAGACCCAGAAATCTGCGAACCTCACAATCACGGCGTTTGTAGAAACGGCCCCCACCATGGGCGAGGACGCCATGGGTTCTAAGACCACCACGGAAGGTTTGGGAGATTGCGATCGTGCCCTCGCTGCGTGGCAGCCAGAAGATCGTTGAAACTGGCTGTGGTGGGCACGTGCCATGAGAAACACTTTGCGCGCCATTCACGCCGCTTTCAAGGGCGCTGCTGCAACTAAGCTTTGCCTGTGCTATTGAAAGACGTAAGAACGCCACCATAGCAACACGTGGGGTCTTCAATAGAGCTTCCAAACCCTCCATTGTTATGTTTGGCAGGGTTGAAACCTGTTTGGAAAGAGGGGTTGCTTGCACTTAATCGGAGATCTATGCTAAACACAGAGCTTATGTTGCGCGCAAATATCCTGTGGCTAGTCTTTAGCCACTAGGAGACCTCTAGGCAGTGGGGGATCCCAGGAATGTCGGTGTGCTGCTGTGGAAGATTGGGGGGATTTCGAGCATCCATCGATGGCGGTACGCAGACATAGGTGCCAATTCCGTCGATCGTGCGTTGCGAAGGGTGTCGATCTTTGGGCTAGAGCCCGAGCGCCAAGGCAAATCCACCCTTCTGTTACTTTGAAGGCCACTGGAAAGGGCATCACTCGTGCGCCGCGCTTTCCTGGGTCCGGGGCGCTAGGTTTTGGTGGGGTGGGGACTGACTACGAATGTTCAAATTCTGGTGCTGAGTCGCTTGGCTTCAAAGTACTACCATATGTCTGAATCTCATCTTCTATCGATAAATTTTTGACAGGATTGACTAAACACATAGTAGATACGGTGGTCCAATTTTGAAGGAAAAAAAAAAGTACATGATAAAAATGTGGTCAGTCAACAAATTGTTTCATTTAATTCCGGACAGAGGAAGTAATATTTTGCGAAATCGGCACAACAAAATATCTGGAAACTTGTAGATACTGCAAATATGCACAGTGTTGTTTTGCCCGCATCAGGTATTTTGTGTCTGCTGAGAAAAGGGGGTGGCATAATACACTTTACGTACGGTATGTTTATGGTGTTTACATCGTATTGTGCATGGCTCCACGCATTGTATGACCGCCCCCGGCAAGATGCTTGGCGCCTCGCTGGTCTCAATTGCAGAATCTGCGGATTTCGGCGTTGTTGCCAGAGGGCCGACGTTCAGCGCGATGCTCTCGCGGCCTGCTGCAGCCGAGCACACTGCTTCACTGACGTGGAGCCAGGAATATTCCACATTATTCTGCAGTTTTCACTACAGCGGGAATTCAAGAAAAGAAAAAGGTGACTTCCACAATTTGCATCATTCGCTAATTTATGTCTTCGTCCCGGGCCGTGCCCCTCTGGCCTAGTAGCAGTCGCACTGTATCCAGGACAAATACCCAGCTCGACAATGTAAAGCCTTACCAAATTCGACAATGCTATTGTGAATGCCGCACAGTACCACCGCAATTCCCAGAAATATTAATCAATGTATTAATCTCTGACGGACGGTAAGGTCCGTTGAGCCAAACGACATATCAAAAACGTTCTTTGGAGCTCTTGTAACCCCCAGCTGGTGAGATTTCCTTCAATGGCATGCACACCCAGCAGTGACAGGTCATTGGACGACTGCGATCCTGTCCATGCTTAGCCGCTACCGCAGCACGCGGGCGGCATGAATCTCAAACCGTTTGTTCCGAAAAGGGTATTCAATGTCCGACGGCATATCTGAACAAAACGAAGCAACAAATTATCTGGAAAGAATTCGGTAGACATGGAGACCCAGGTGCCCTGACCAAGTCCAGATCTCTGTTGTCGATGTCTCAAGTTCCGATCGAGAATGTGTCTCCCAATACGTCCAAAGAACATCTTGACAAGCCCGATCATGAACTTTGTCCCATACAAGAGCGCTGTATGAGCCGTTTTCCGATTCAGGCAATGCAGGGCAAAAACATTGCAGCCTCTCAATAAATTGACATGTTGAATTGGTCGAGAATGCATTTCTTGGGTGGACACGCCGAGGTCCACCCTCACAGCGCAGTGGTCAGTGATTTTTTGAGTTCGATTGCACATCACGACGCCCATTGGGAACTACTGTCCAAAAGCTTACAGAAGGAAAGCCAATTTCCAATGAGTTTTTTCATGTGTTGCAGCTTTGTCCATTTTGCATGCGGTAGCAACTCCGGAGTTGCGGATGGATCCACCCGCAATTGCCATACCGGGTGACACCGTGGTTGTTGCTGCTTATGGGCAAGCTGGATACGTGTGGATGCAATATTATTGTGAAAGGCGGGGCATGCGCATTGATTCAAGTATGTGGAAAGTTTTGGGTCCAACAGGGGATGGCTGTGATAGACAATTGGCTGAACTCTATCTACTCAGATTCAAATTGTGCAATGTCCAGTAATGTGAAATCAAAGTAGAGCGGCCACATTTTTGCCTCACAATCCAAGCCGTGTGAGCGGGTTGATCTCTTGAACGTGGCATTCACGCAGCCGCCGACAGCCGGGCTGTGCAAGACCTGGCAGGGGCCGCTGGAGGTGGCCTCTAT